CTAGTAAAGAAGAACAAACTCTTTTCTCAAGCTTCTTGTGTAATAATACTAACTTGTTTAAACTTACAATCTGTTGCCATTTTTAGCTGAAAAAGCTCTGTATGTCTAACGAACTGATTTTTCTGTGGCATGACCTCTAATTATTTTAACCAAGCCGTCTCCTAACTTTTACTTAAACATCGAAGTAGCTGCTAGTTAATATTCACTGAGTGCTGCTGTGTGTCTCTCCTCCAACCACCTAGCTACTCTCTAAGAAGTCTAATGCGATCGCAAATCAGATGTCTCAAAGCGACAGATCCGATGATGTAAGACCAAGAGGTGGGACACGGGAGCAGACGGAGAGAGGAAAAAAAACACTGACTCAAAACTCTCTGAACACAGAAAGCTGAACCCAACCTCTGTCACCCCCGTCCGCCTGGGTTCTCGGCCCCAGAGCTGACAGCTCGGTTCTGCTGCACTGTAGTCGACCAAAATCACAGATTATTTTGAAATTCCCATCCGGACATTTTTAGGTATGAAAAGTAGGATCTGTCCGGGAAAAAAGAGACGTCTGGTCACCCTATTTAATCCCAAACATCTTTTAATTAAGAGTTAGTTGGATTTTAATCAGCGAGAATCCTGGACAAAAGCATAATTTAACTCTTCAGTAACACTAGCAGTGAGATACTCACTTTGTAAGAGCCGAAAACGAAGAACAAGAAGATCATCCAAAATGGCAGCTCATATTGGTCCTTATTTCAACCAGGCAACAAACAGATTGGTAAACCTGAAATCTGGGATTTCACCTTCAAATAACAAAATTCATAATAATTATTGAATATCAGCCGCAAGAACAAAAAAGAAAAAAATTTTTTTAAAGACGTTATTACATTGTAGACATGGACATGAATGATGCTGGTCCAATTGGGACCACAGCCCCCTGGGAAAAATAAATAAACAAAAGTTGCTCAAAATTAGGCAACAGCTAAAACTCAAAACATGAAGTTGTGAACATTGGTATGTGTAACACCGAGTACATTTAAATTATGCATGTGGTTTAGCTCTCAGCTGCTTGTCCACAAGTAAAATTAAGGAATACCAATTTTAAATCACCCATAGGCTCCAGATTACAGAAGTATTAAGGAACAAATTTAACCCCACACTTCCCACATATTGTGATAAATCTACGATTGCATCTTTGACTGCTCCCTCATTAAACATCTATGGAGAAGGTCTGTAAAGAAATTTCTGAGATATTTGGTAAGGATCTGGACCTAATCCCACTCTCTTGTATCCTTGGTTTACATCCTGCACTGAACTGAAATTCTTATATGTGGAGACTGCTAGATGTTCTTCTGTTTGGTGCCAGGTGTTGTGTTCTATTTCAGTGGATCTCTGACAAACAATGGCGTAACAACACAACAAAAGGCCCGTAAGCAACATTATGTGGGTGTTCTCTTGGTCGCAATCTTTACCCGCTGGACTGGTAGGAGCAGCAATGTCCACCTCTCACTCTTTGCTCCCTCCCTCTTTTTTCTGTTCTTCCAGCAGCTCTTCTTTCCTTTTTCTTTTCTGGAATCTGCTTAAGTATCTCTTTTTGTTATCCATCGTCGCTAACACATTGTACGTAATGGTTATGGTTTAATCTACGCTCTGGTTTTAGTTTAACGTGATGTGACGTCTTGCACGCTGCATGCACCTTAAATACGTAATATGTTCAGTCAGTTCATCATAACCCAGTACCCATAATTCCAAGTCGTAGTGTTAAAAAATAAAACACTCAATACATTGTTCTTTAAAGATCTTTATTGCGGTTTGAAACATATTATATGAGTGTATTTTTTACCAACCGTCTAATGAACTATACACAGTTATTAAAATAGTAATTAAAAGTACAACTGTCTGCTTTGCTATTGGTGTCGTGTTTAAACGGCTCACCATCATGTTGAAATCTGACATATGTTGCGGTATAAATACGTTCCAGTGCGGTCAGTCATTCCAGGATCAGGTGGGTTTAAGAGGAATTTTTTCCACCATTACATCTGCGAAGAGACGTCCTAGTCTATAATTACGTAGGGGGCCCACTAGGTGTCAATGATGGGGCCCCTAAGAGGTCGTGGGCCCTTAAGCAACTGTTGTCTCTGCTTACCGATAGTTATGCCATTGCTGACAAACCTCCTACACTTTCTGCACGGCTGCAGAGTGTGAGGGAACTAATTCCCTTGGAAGCAATGACCTACTGGCTTAAGGACAAACCTCTGTTATTTTAGAGAACGTGAGATCCATTCTTAGATTACATCAGTCTGTACCGAAGGGTCTCTATGGACTTATCTGGTCTGACATTCCTGGAGGGAACCAAACTTGAGTTGTGAATTCAACCAATTATTATAGTGACTATTAACTGATTAATTTGAGCTTTAATGTTATGTTTTTCTGTTTTTTATTTATTTTATGTTTTTCGTGTCCGTACTCTATATTCATCTTTTTTTGAGGATGTGGATGAAGCTGTTGGGACAATATCATCTGATAAAAAGCGCATTTATATACATGTTTAGGCCAGAATGATTTGACATTTGAACAGACTTCCCTACGAAAATATAGCTGCCATTGTTGCAGGCAAAGAAATGATAAAGTAACTTCGCCGAACGTGCATCAGACCCACTTTTTCCACCACGCAGCCAGAGCAGCAAAGACGTGTCTGAACTAAACTTGTACAAGCATAAAAAATGAAGCAGCACGTGCGTTTTTGTTGCTTCTGCTGCGTGCAGTCTGAATGTAGCATTAGGGTCTCTTGGGTTTTGCTGTTTTTCTGGATAGGCTGGGAGAAATCTCACTATGTTGAAATTGCTCCGTGGTACAGGACTCTGCTTTTTACCTACAAACACCTTAGCATCTGGTTAAGAAACACAAACCTTCTGAAGATCAGGTCCTATAGAGTATTTGAGATTAATGGACTGACAAAAAGATAATCGGTAGAAAGATGAATTACTAGAATTATTGATAGGTACAGCCCTTATTTATTTATATTTATTTATTTTATTTTATTAAAAGCATACAGCAAATATGCTCCTACAGCTCTACAATAATCAATGATCCTAAAGACAGGCCGTAAATATTTCAGTCGAGTAAAACCTTTGGCTAAAGTTTTACTGACCATCCCTGAACTCTATCTTGAAATATTGTTAAACTTGAACTATTTCAAAATCAAAGTCTGACCTATTTTTTATAGTTTGACCTTTTTTGATAATCTGGGTTTAGATACACGATTCTTCCTGGACTTAACCTCTCAAAACCCGCCGTTTTAAAGCGTTTACAAATAATAGCTCAAAATGCATGAAAGTTACACCGGCAAGATGTTTACCAATATAGATGCTAGACATCGTTGGAAAGCTTAGATTCTCCACAATTCAACCACCTAGTTTATTTTATGGACACAGTGAGCATCAAAGCACAATTAACACAGATATAGCAGCATGTCAAAATGTAAACACGACAAAGCAGAAAGCAAGCATGTCTTTATAAATGCTATTCTAAAAGTACGTATGATTTTTGAGAATAAAAGAAAACAACTTTGACTCTTGTTTGAACTGATGCAGCTTGTTTGCAATTTTCAATTGCAATTATATTCAGAAACTAGAAGGTGTTAGCTTTCGAATGATGTATCACACATGAAATTTGGGCTTATAGTTCCTATGTTATTTGCTTTTCCATTTGGGTTTGCAAAATAGGTGAGGATTTTCCAAAATGAGGTTAATGTTAGGAGGTTGAACCTTCTGATAGTATGAGTGTGTAGTTTCAGGTGGGCAGCTTGACTAATTGGCTTTTCTTCATGGCCTCCGTCTGAACAGGAGGATGTGGATGAAGCGGTCGCAGCAGCCAGAGCGGCCATGCAGCACGGCTCTGCTTGGCGGAGGATGGGGCCGTCACGCCGAGGGAGGTTACTGCACAGACTGGCAGACCTGGTGGAGAGAGACCGGCTGCTGCTCGCGGTAAAATCCCAAAATGTCTGAGGCATACATAGAATAGAATAGAATAGAATAGAATAGAATAGAATAGAATAGAATAGAATAGAATAGGAAATCCCTTTATTGTCCCACAATGGGGATATTGTGGTGTTACAGCAGAAAAGGTTATAGTAGAATTGGTCAGACAATGTGTACCTTAGAAAAGTGTATAAAAATAACAGATAGGAAAATAAAAGAAACTGAGTATTTTGATGTAAAGTGTTTGTACAATATAATATTCTATATCTGGAGAATAAAAAAATCAATAACAGCCGTGGACATTTTTACAATCGTGGGTATTTGAAAAATAGCAGCAACACCAGAGATCTGAAAAAAAAATTACATAAGAGAAGTATGTTATTAACTGACTGACTAACTTGATTTTATCTCATCTTAATCCAAAGTATACTTTAACAACCAACCACTACAGTCCATTTTGACCATTATTTTATAAATCAACCTTGTACTGGGGGCAGGGGCACCTTTATTTTATAGGAAGTGCAGGCATAGCATAGGTAGAGTAGAAGCATCTGTGAATAATCAATGCTTTATGCTAAACATGTTTATTTTTCAATTAACGATTTATTCCTCTTTATTAACTAAACCAAGATGTGTGGAGATCGATATATGACAAAATGTAAAAAAACATGGATATGTTATGAAATAAATGTTTTTACATGTTCAAGAAAAAAAAAATCTTGAATATGATTTTCTCAAAAGTGAAGGAAATCTTTCTAATTGCAGTTAGCAGATTTCCTGCATGTGTAGAGTTAAATAAATCCTTAAAACAATTAGTTACATGACCGTATGAAGGGAATTTTGTATCTTTATTGTCGAAAGCAAAAATCAGTTTGTAAACTGAAATGTTTCAACAACAAAAATTCAATCCAGAAATGAAACTGAAAATTCGTTCCAAACAAGGTTTGAGAA